GCACGGCTGATGTCTCACGAGCACGGCTGATGCCTCACCGTGAGGCATGGTAGATGTCTCATCACTAGGCATAGCAGATGTCTCAGGAGGCACGGTAGATGTCCTCATCACTAGCATAGCAGATGTCTCACGAAGCACGGTAAATGTCTCCATCACTAGCATAGCAGATGTCTAACGAGGCACGTAAATGTCTCATCACTAGCATGGCAGATGTCTCACGAGGCACGGTAGATGTCTTCATCACTAGGCATTAGCAGATGTCTCACGAGGCACAGTAAATGTGTCATCACTAGGCATAGCCAGAATGTCTCACGAGGACAGTAAATGTGTCATCACTAGGCCAATAGCAGATGTCTCACGAGGCACGGTAAATGTGTCATCACTATGCATAGCAGATGTCTCACGAGGCACGGTAGATGTCTCATCATTAGGCATAGCGGATGTCTCACGAAGCATGGTAGATGTCTCATCACTAGGCAAAGCAGACGTCTCACGAGGAATGGTAGATGTCTCATCACTAGGCCATAGCTAGATGTCTCACGAGCACGGGGTAGATGTCTCATCACTAGGCATAGCAGATGTCTCACGAGGCACGGTAGATGTCTCATCACTAGGCATAGCAGATGTCTCACGAAGCGACGTAGATGTCTCATCACTAGGCATAGCAGATCGTTCACGAGGCACGGTAGATGTCTCATCACTAGGCATAGCAGGATGTCTCACGAGGCACGGTAGATGTCTCATCAACTAGGGAAGCAAGATGTCTCACGAGGCACGGTAATGGTCTCATCACTAGGCATAGCAGATGTCTCACGAGCACGGTAGATGTCTCATCACTATGGGCGATTAGGCATGATGTCTCACGAGGCACGCGGTAGATGTCTCATCCACTAGGCATAGCAGATGTCTCACGGAGCACGGGTAGATGTCTCATCACTAGCATAGCAGATGTCTTCACGAGGCACGGTAAGATGTTTCATCATCAGTAGGTGTCTCAGCAGTCATCACTAGGCATAGCAGATTCTCCATCGTCATCGTCGCGGGTAGTTCTATAAGGTGTATGCGTCAGTATGGCCTTCACCTCCACCGCTGTCACGTGCTCCGCTACCCTACGTGCCGAGCCAGCGTCAGACAAGTGCAACGAAACTGGCTGTGTTATCTCCAGAAAAACCCGCCGCCCGTTCACCAGTCACTATCGTTGGCGCTGCTGTGATGACCTTGACTGGTTTATTCGTGGAGGACAGCTCGTCAGCGCCCGTCAACCGTGCGACGGTGCTGCCATCTGTGAGCGCTGTCTTCTGGCGGCCGATCTGCGACAGACGATCGAGGAACTCCGCTAGAGAGATGGCGCTCACGGGCGCCGTATAGGCACGGCCGACACCGCGAGTCTGTGATAGGGATGCAGCGTTCGGTCGTAGGGTCGGATTCGGATCCCCTCCGATTGTTGCCGTGGTTACGCGTTGTCATTACCCGACGCCGCGCGGTGTGGCTTCTGATTGATGTTGATAAGAAGTAACAGCTTCCATCGCCGGATCCGGATCAGCTTCGCCGGCGTCGGTGTAAGCGGAATCGGTTCGACGTTCGGATCGGAATTCGGGTCTTGTTGTTGAACGGCGCCGGGTTTCCGTTTGGAACGTTTCCGGTCTTCGGCAGACTCGAATATCGACGCGGTGTTGCCGGCGTCTGTGGCCATAAATCGAGTCTCCGTAGGAGTGCTAGAAGTAGTAGGTGGAGGGGAGTGTGCTGGGGTCTCCTAGGAGGCTGCTAGAAGTAATAGAAGGAGGGGAGTGCGCTCGGGGTCTCCGTAGGAGTGCTAGAAGTAATAGAAGGAGGGAGTGCGCTGGGGTCTTCCGTAGGATTGCTAGACAGTATAGAAGGAGAGGAGTGCGCTGGGGTCCGTCAGAGTGCTAGAAGCGTAGTAGGATGGGGAGTATGCTGGGATCTCCGGTAGGATGCTAGAAGTAGTGAGGTGGAGTGGGGAGTGTGTGGGGTTCTCCGTCAGGATGCTAGAGTAATAGAAGGAGGGAGTGTGTGCGGGTCTGCCGTCAGGAGTGCTAGATAGTAGTAGGTGGAGGGGAGTATAGCTGGGGTCTCCCGTAGGATTGCGCTAGAAGCTAATAGAAGGAGGGGAGTGTGGTGGGTCTCCGTAGGATTGCCTAGAAGTAAATGAAGGAGGGAGTGTGGCTGGGTGCCTCCAGCATCCGTCGAGAGTTAGTGATGTAGGACGGGTCTGTCTCTCTCCGCCTTTCCACAGCGTTCGTCCTGCGTGGTAGGGTCGTCGGGTGGTTGACACTGACACCGGGCTGCCACTGGTGGGCGCGTGCGGCGTGAACTTCTTAATGTGCGCTGTGTGAGGGCGCGCGATTTATTGCCTGTGTGTTCGCCGCTCCACGTTCACTAACTTTCGTGCCGGTAGATGGCGTTGAATTCCATCGGTGCGCGCGAGTGCGTCTGTGAGGGAGTTTAGTGATGCGGCTTCGCTGCTTCTCTCTGCTGCTCTCCTTGCTCTGTGGCGACGTTCGCCGTGGCGTCGCTCAGTCGATCGGGGTCACCGAACAACAGTCGTACGTTCTTACAATGTCATCTGAGGTGCGGATTGGTGGCATGTTTTGCGCAGAGAGTTACCACCAGTGACGCGTGGGGCAACGTATGACGTCGACTACTGTGTCTGACCGTCATTGTTGTCGCTGTGGGCATGCCAGCGCGTGGTGCGGTGTCTGACGTCACTGCTGTGTCTGACGTCACTTCTGTCATGCGTGAGGCGATTTCTGACGTCATTGTTTGTCGCGTGGGCATGGTGAGACACCCACCACGTCTCACGAGACATCCACCACGTCTCATGAGACATCCACCATGTCTCATGAGACATCCACCACGCCTCATGAAACACCCACCACGTCTCATGAGATACCCACAGCGGCTCATGAGACATCCACCACGCCTCATGAGACATCCACCACGCCTCATGAGACATCCACCACGCCTCATGAAACACCCACCACGTCTCATGAGACATCCACCACGCCTCATGAGACATCCACCACGTCTCATGAGACACCCACCGCGGCTCATGAGGCACCTGGCCGACGACCCGACGGTGGGGCCTCGGGCTCCAGATTTGACGTGTTTGCGAGGGACCGGAGCAGCCGAGATAGGAACGCACACAGCCCGGACGTAGACGGTTACTACGTACGCCTACATGGCTTCATCCTGCCTCTTTACAGGAGAGGGCCGCAGGACGGCGACGGCGCCGACATGTGGGTTAGAGGAGGGGAGCTCTATCGGTCTCTCTATGAGAGCAACTGGAGTGTCAAGAGAAGGCCGCTAGAAACGCACTGATCACGCGTTTAATTGTTGGCAAGAAATCAGATGCTGTTTTTTTCTGAGGGAGGAGAATGGGAACACTATAACGAGGGGCCTAATAGTATCCTATAGTGTCAGACAAGATGGTAGGAGGAACTTCTACTGGAGAAGAGTGCCTGACTGTGTATGTGTGAAGACGTATGTCTATGGTCTAAGGAGTGCCATCGTACTCAGAATTATTTGTTTTTACCGCGGTTAAATTATAGCCCTTTTACACAATCAGAGGCTTTGTTAAACATAATTTAAACTTTATAAAAATAATTTATCCGCAGTTAAAATGTTGTGTAACAAGGCCCTTGTTTGGGTAAAAAGGGCCGTAATTTAACCGCGGTAAAATTGTAGCCCTTTACCCTATCAGATGCCTTGTTACGCATAATTTAAGCGCTGATAAATTATTTTTACCGCGGTAAAAATAATTATTTCTGTCTACGTCCAACGACATGTGTCTCTGTACAGGTACTGAGTATTATCGTAATCTGGGAGGAGTAGCTGACTCTATCTACAGAGACCTGCGTCCCTGCAGGCTGCAGAGTATTATCGTAATCTGGGAGGAGTAGCTGACTCTATCTAATAGCACTCCTACGGAGACCCCAGCACACTCCCCTCCACCTACTACTTCTAGCACTCCTACGGAGACTCGATTTATGGCCACACGCGGCGACACCGCGTCGATATTCCAGTCTGCCGAGACCGAAACGTTCCAAACGGAAACCGGCGCCGGTTCAACAACAAGACCCGAATTCCGATCCGAACGTCGAACCGATTCCGTCTACACCGACGCCGGCGAAGCTGATCCGGATCCGGCGATGGAAGCTGTTACTTCATCAACATCAATCAGACACCGCGCGGCGTCGGTAACGACAACCGTAACCACGGCAACATCGGAGGAGGATCCGAATCCGACCCTACGACCGACGCTGCATCCCTATCACAGACTCGCGGTGTCCGGCCGTGCCTATACGGCGCCCGTGAACGCCATCTCTCTAGCGGAGTTCCTCGATAGTCTGTCGCAGATCGGCCGCCAGAAGACAGCGCTCACAGATGGCAGCACCGTCGCACGGTTGACGGGCGCTGACGAGCTGTCCTCCACGAATAAACCAGTCAAGGTCATCACAGCAGCGCCAACGATAGTGACTGGTGAACGGGCGGCGGGTTTTTCTGGAGATAACACAGCAGTTGGTGACTTTGTCAGTGACGCTGGCTCGGCACGTAGGGTAGCGGAGCACGTGACAGCGTCGGGAGGTGAAGCCATACTGACGCATACACCTTATAGAACTACCGCGACGATGACGATGGAGGAATCTGCTATGCCTAGTGATGAGACATCTACCGTGCCTCGTGAGACATCTGCTATGCCTAGTGATGAGACATCTACCGTGCCTCGTGAGACATCTGCTATGCCTAGTGATGAGACATCTACCGTGCCTCGTGAGACATCTGGGTACGTGCTATGCTGCCTAAGTGATTAGACATCTAAACCAGTGCCTCGTGAGACATTCTGGCTATTGCCTAGTGATGAGACATCTAACGGTGGGCCTCGTGAGACATAACCTGCTATGCTTAGTTGATGAGGAATCTAGCCGTGCCTTACGTGAGACGATCTGCTATGCCTAGTGATGAGACATCTACAGTCGCTTCGTGAGACATCTGCGTATGCCGTAGTGATAGACATACTACCGCTGCCTCGTGAGGACATACTGGCTATGCCTAAGCTGATGAGACACTTACCCCGTGCCTCGTGCAGACATCTGCTATGGCCTAGTGAGATAGACATCTACCATTCCGTCGTGAGACGTCTGCTTGCCTAGTGAATGAGACATCTACCGATGCTTGTCGTGAGCAATCCGCTATGCCATCAACATGATGAGACATCTACGTGCCCTCGTGAAGACTCTGTTAATGCATAGTGATGACGCAATTTACCGGTGCATCGCGTGAGACATCCTGCTATTGCCTAGTGATGACACAATTTATGCTGTCCCTCGTGAGACATACTGCTATGGCCTAGATGATGAACTACATGTTACTGTGCCTCGTGAGATTCATCTGCTATTGCCTTAGTATGAAGTACATCTACCGTGCCTTCGTGGAGACCATCTGCCATGGCCCTAGTGATGAGACATTTACCGTGCACTCGTAGACATCTGACTATGGCCTAGTGATGAAGACATTTACCGTGCTCGGTGAAGAATCGCTATGCCTAAGTGATGAGCACATCTACCGTCCTCCTGAGACAGTCTGCTATGCGCTAGTGATGAGACATTCTACGTGCTGTCCTGCACGACACTCTGCTCATCGCTAGTGATGAGACATCTGACCATGCCTCTCACTGGTGAGCCATCAGGCCGTGCCTCGCGAGACATCTATATTATATCTCGGCGATGAGACATCTGGCCATGACTCGCGTGAACATTCTGCTATGGCCTCGTGAGAACCACTCTGACTATGTCTCGCGATGAGACACCTGCAAATGCCTCACGCATGGGGACATCTGCTATGCCTCATGAGACATCTATCCTATGCCGTCGTCGAGACAGTCTTCTATGTCTCCGTAACGCGAATATCTGCGGTGCCCCACAAAGCATCTACTTGTGTCCTCCATCGAAGACAGTCCATCGCCCGCCGCCTCGGTGAGATCATCCACGCAAGCGTCCTCATGAGACATCACACGTCTCATGAGACACCCACCCCGTCTCATGAGACTCACCACCAACGTTTAATACAGACATCTTCCTCGCCTAGTGAGCCATCGCCTGTCGCCTCATGAGACATCTCACCACGTCTCATGATAAGAACATGCACACAACGTATCATGAGAACACCGCACCAACGTGGGGGGTCTTAAGAGACATCTTCCTCGCTAGTGAGGCCCATCGCGGCTGCGCCTCATGAAGACATCCACCACGGGGCCCACAGCGTCTGCATGACGACCATCCACACACCCGCACTCATGGAAGAACAAATCTCACTGCCGGACGTCCATGAGACAGAGACATGACACGCACGTCTCACGAGACCATGCACGGCGGCACGTCTCATGAAGACACTCCACCACGATTCATGAGACAGCCCACCACGCCTCAGAGAACAGCCCATCCACGTTCTCATGAGATAACCCACCCCCGCGGGCTCATCGAGGAATTCCACCACGCCTTCATGGAGACTCCACCACGGGCCTCATGAGACAGTCCGGAACTTGACGCTCAGAGACACCGGCGGGCCCCGGGGCGGGGGGCGGGGGGGGGCGATTGGTCGGTTGCTGCGGTCCGTCGCATGCCGACCCGCGGCTTGCGATTGAGCGACCTTGGCTCCGACGACCCGCTACGGTGGGCCCGTCGCTCCAGATTTGACGTTTTGCGAGGGGACCGGAGCAGCCGACGATGAGGAACGACAGGGCACAGCCCGGTCGGATCGTAGACGCGTTACGTACGTACGCCTACATGCTTCGATCCTGCCTCCTTTACAGGAGAAGGCGCCGTCCAGGACGGCGACGCGCCGACATGTGGCTTAGCAGGAGGGGCAGACTCTATCGGTCTGCTCTATGAGAGCAACTGGAGTGTCAAGAGAAGCGCCGCCTAGAAACGCAACTGATG